AAACTTTTTCACTTCCAGGTGGTGGCAACAAATAAGAGCCGCCATTTCCAACCCCTTGGAAGATTTAAGCTGATGAGTGGGTACTTTAGTGCCAGCTATTAATTCCTATCTTGTGGTTGCCTAACCCACACCTTCTTCCCTGGGCCTTGCATGTTTTGTATTTTTAATCATGCTCCATGGGGCTCCCAGTACAGGGATCAAGAGATTCCTAGTTGCAGACAGATTTTTTATGTGTTGTTGAGTTAAGAGTTCTATTGTAAAGGGAAACTTTACTAACAGATAATTATTGGACACCTGTTGGGGCAAGGCCAAGTTCTAGATGCTAACAGTGAAAAAGACAGCTGAGGGTTGCTGCGTCCACGGGTTTACATTCTCCACTGTCTTTCACCACCCTCAATCAAGGAAATGGAAAATAAACAAGTCAACAGATAAGTGAAGAACTATAATTTCCAAAGGCAAGAAGTGCTGTGAAAACAATACAGTGGGATGAAGCAGAGAGACTTTAGGAGCCAAGTTAGATGTGTTCCTCAGGGAAAGCCCCTCTAAGGAGGTGCCATTTGAGCTAACTGGATGAGAAGGAACCAGCTCTGGAACGTGAGGGAAGAGCATCCCGGCTGAGACAGGCGCCTGGATAAAGGTGTACAGTCGGGGGTGGACTTGATGTGTTCAGAAACAGAGGCCTCTGCCGCTGAATGTGCGTGTCCTTGAGAAGAGCAATCTTAGGGGAGAGGTGGGGGCAGGTGGTAGACTGTGGCAACATCCCTAGTTCTTTGGAATTGTTCATTGAAGAGAAGCAGGTAAATGGGCTGGAAACTGGATGGGGGTCATCAAGTTCAAGGGAGAAATCTGTTGTGGCGATGAGTTTGTGTGTTTTTTATGAAGGCAGGTTGGATGTTGATAGGGATGATTAGCACACGTTCCTATGTGAGAACCCACAATCCTGACCGTCCTGCCTTCTGCAGAAGGGCCAGGCAACTGACAAAGACCCTCACTTACTGCTCCTTCAGCCCTGCTTGCTGCCTATGCCAGCAGACACTGCACACCGTATTGAGCTACAGTAGATATTGGGGTCATTTTGGGGTCCCAGTCCTTCCAGCCTGCTCTCTGCAGAGACTTTCCCAGCTGAATCCCATGATATCTGCATGTCCTTACCAACCTGGTCAATCCCAGGAACTCAAGCCACCCAGTCCCTTTCCCGGATCTCACCCAACACAGCTATGTGCATCCAAACCTGGCTTAGGTCCTGCCCACCTCTCCCCGCCCTCCCAACCCTTCTACTTAGGCACACTGGAAATCAGTACAGCTCCTATTGCCTCAGTGACTTCCCTGCATGCTTTTTTTCTCCTCTCCTAACATAACTGAAGCCCATTCTCTCTGAAGACTTGCCACCCTCTCGGGTGGAGGCTATTTTATCTCCTGCATCCCCTAAACCAGTGGGTCTTTGAGGTGAGATGGGGCTGTCTTGTTCCCATTGCTACTTCCATACCAATCTCCTCTCTCCTTCAGAGCCCCTAGCTATTGAGGACCTGGCCCTGACTCACTTCCTCTCCACAGGATGGACTGTCACAATCGGGGTGGCCTCCCAGTGTCTTGGCCCCCTTGACTCCCTCACTTTTCCCAGCCTCCCTTTCCCAGAGTCCTACCCCCAGACCCTGCCATTGCAAGAAACTGCCCCACCTCAGGAATCTAGATGGCAGGCACCCCACTCTCTGAGCTCCTATATTTCTGGCTCTCTTATTCTCCAAAAATGCTATGTTCTCATCGGGACCTCCAATCCGTTCATTGACCCCACCACATTCTCCACTGTCTTTCACCATCCTCATTCATTATTCTCCTTCTCACCAGTTTAGATTCCATGACCCACCATTATCATTAGTCATCCCTTGCACACTTAAGTCCACTGCCCCTCTCTCCATCCATCATACTTGCCTGGCAAAATCCCAACAATGATTAAACCCAACCACTGACTCACTCTGTGCTTGCACCAGACTCCACAAACACCGATGAAGAATGATATACCACGGTGCTGCTCACTGCATGCACGTTAAATTCGTGACCACAACACTGCCCAGGCATCCTAACAAAATGTCCCCATATGCTCATTTCTCCACTCCCTACAATTTCCCACTGTCCTTAAACCTCCATTACTCCCCGCCCAAACTTTCAACTTGTTTCACACTTCATTAAGACGGAGCGAATAGAAAAAATGGATAGGAGGCTTGGTGTGGTGGCTCATGCCTGTAATCCCAACACTTTGGGAGGCCGAGGCAGGCAGATCACCTGAGGTCAGGAGTTCAAGACCAGCCTGGCCAATATGGTGAAACCCCCATCTCTACTAAAAATGCAAAAATTAGCTGGGCTTGGTGGCGCATGCCTGAATCCCAGCTACTTGGGAGGCTGAGGCAGAATAATCACTTGAACCTGGGAAGCAGAGGTTGCAGTGAGCTGAGATGGTGTCATTGCACTCCAGCCTGGGTGACAGAGTAAGACTCCATCTAAAAAAAAGAAAATGGGTAGGAGGTAGAAATGCCATCCTTTTCCTGCCTGCATTTGTACTCATTTTCTGCTTTGCTGCTTGTTACAGTGGATGAAGTGTCGTCACTCATCAAGACCCATTCCTTCACCTGTGTTCTGGAACCTGTTGCCTGCTTCCTCCCTGTGGCTTTTGTTCCTGCAGTCCCTGCCTCGCCCTTCTAGTGCTAGAATCATAGTTCGTCATCTCTCCTGGACCAATCAAACAACCCCTGTAATCTAAAACAGGGATTAGCAAACTCTGTAATGGGCCAGATAATAAACATTTCAGGCTTGATGGGCCGCATGGTCTCTGTTGATCAGCATTGTTGTGGTAGCAGGAAAGCAGCTTCCGATCATATCTAAATGAATGGGTATGGCTCTGATCCAATAAGACTTTATTTACAAAACAGGTAGCATGAGAATGAATCTGTTCCATGAGCCATAGTTTGCCTAATCAAGAATAGTATGTAGCCTCTTACTGGGTTAAACAAAATCATGTGCTCTGTCAATCAAATTATGATGGAGGCTGGGTGCAGTAGCTCACACCTGTAATCCCAGCACTTTGGGAGGCCAAGGTGGCAGATTGCTTGAGCCTAGGACTTTAAGAACTACCTGGGCAACATAGTGAGACCATGCCTGTATAGACAATAAAAAAAATTAGCCAGGTGTGGTGGCTCGTGCCTGTGGTCCCAGCTACTCAGAAGGCTGAGGTGGGAAGATCACTAGAGCCCAGGAGGTCAAGACTTCAGTGAGCCAGATAGCTGGCAGAGAGAAAGGTGAGAATGGGCAGAGTCCAGGGTGATTTTTGAAGGGAATGGTTATGTTTTTATTTTCTTGGATGCTTTCTGCATGTCCATGAGTTATTTTAGATACAAACGGCAAAATATAGGAAATAGCCACATCCCATTTTTATTATTGGCTGTTCAATTGGCTGTTTAATTTTTTCCATTATTTCTTTTAAAAAACACTTGAGTAGTTCTTTCCAAAATCGGTGGAGATTCCACTGTCTCTCGTGGTGATTGTAACACCTGGATTAAGGGTTGGGCTCCAGATGAGATCTGTGACTATTGGGTCTCCTGAGATAGGGTGAGGTGTGTGTGTGTGTGTGTGTGTGTGTGTGTGTGTGTGAGAGAGAGAGAGAGAGAGAGAGAGAGAGAGAGAGAGAAAGAGAAAGAGAGAGAGAAAGAGAGAGAGAATGTGTGTACATGTGCAGGGGTTGCTCTAGAATGCTGAGGAGTTCAGATGAAGGAAGTGAAGGAAGCACTTTTCAGAACCCAAGAAATTGTAATGATGCCTCACATCCAGTTTTCTTACCCAGGTAAAACAGCCTTCATTTTTAGTCAATAATTACAGTCTGCATGTAATAGTTAATGCAAGTATGCCTTTAAAGACATTCTCATATACTCTAGATAGCTCTCTTTTACTTAGTCATTTCAGAGCATAGATTAGAAAGAGCTTCACTGAAGTCCCTTTGGTTGGGTATGTTCTCTGCTTGGTGAATCCATGGCCATTATGAATAGGACCCTGTTTGCTGCCTCTTGTCACTCTCTAGTGGTTTTTACAGGGCTAAGACATTATTGTAGAGAGTTGACATGTCTTCTCTTTTTCTGTGATGTCTCAACCTGCTGAGAGCAATTGGTGCAGGTATCCCAGGGCCTGAGCTAGTCCAGGATCCGTCTCATCTCTAGGTAGTCAACCTGGGGTCCTCTGCCCTCTGCCTTTCAGGGGTAGCCAGTGTCAACACTCTTTCTGCCCTACCGTGCCTGGCCACTGGGATTATAACTGATTTCTCTTCTTTATCTTATCCCTTCTGGAATAGCTAAAAGATTTCAAAAAGAATTCAAAACCGAGACAAAATAAACACACACAAAAAGTGTGGCATTTACAATTTTAGATTATTAAGATTATTAGATTGTTGAGCCTCTGTGTGGCCAAAGGCCCATACAGAGGGCTTTGGAGGGACCACAGGGGGTCAGGAGCCAGAGGGGATGGTTACTCAACCCAGGAGACAGGAGGTCAAACCTAAAGGAGAAGAAAAGCCAAGGATGATGCTAGAAAAAAAGAACAGAAACAGAAGGGAGCCTGGGAGGGCCCCGTACTAAGGAGTCCAGAAGCAGATATCAAAATTAGAGCTTGAGTGGGGCTTAAGGAGCTAGAAATAAAACTAAAACATCTCGATCTTTAGCATCTTGCAAAAGGTAAACTTGGCTGGCACAGTTTTGGGGAGTACAGTGCTTTTCCTTGGCTTCAGGATCCCCCCTTTCCCAACTCCTTTGACCTTCAGACATGGATTGCAGAATCAATGTTCATCGATTATGGTGCTTTTATTGGAACGCAGCACAGACATGCACAATTCAGCCAGCTCTCCCATGACTGCGGTGGTGGCCTCGTCCATTTGGGTTGCTATAATGAAATGCCTTAAACTGGGTGGCTCATAAACAATGGAAATGTATTTCCCACAGTTCTGGAGACTGGGAAGTCTGAGATTAAGGAACCAGCAGATTTGATGTCTGGTGAGGGCCTGTTTCCTGGTTCATAGATGGTACTTCATATGGTGGAGGGGACAAGGCAGCCTCTTTTATGAGGCTCTCCCTTCAGGACCTAATAAAGCCTCAAAGTCCCCACCTTCTCACAACGTCACATGTTGAATTTCAACATATTAATGTGAGGGAGACACAAACATTTAGACCATAGCCAGTGGGCAAGGTCTGAATCCCCCTTGCGGCATAGCCCAGGGGATTGAGAATGTTTGGAAAGGGAGAACTGGAGTGAACAAGCCACGTTCAAGGGTGAGTGAGTGCCCATAAGCCACAATCCTGGGAGTAGGATGATGGCAGCGGACAGGCACACAAACAGGTCTTTCCGGTGGTGATGTGATACTCAAAGCCATTGGAAGGATGGCCATGTGTTCTGAAAATGGATCATCAGGCAGACAAGAGAAAGAACTCTTCCACCCAGACATACTAGATACCTCTTGCCTACCCAATTATGGCCAATATTTAGGAGCCAGGAGTTATGATTCAGTCAGGTGTTTTTTTTTTTTTTTGTTTTTGTTTTTGTTTTTTTTGTTGTTGTTGTTGTTGTCGTTGTTTTTTTGAGGGGGAGAAGTCATGGTGATTTTGAACCTTGGAGGAAAAGAATAAAGCCATTATGGAGAAAGTTGAGTGTATGAGTGGATTATAAGCCTGCATGGTGGCCTGGTGCGGGCTGTCACCCACTTAATTAGAGTAACAGATTGCTCATACCTCAAATATCCTCTGAGTAGGAAAGGACAGAGCAAAAATGGAATGAGGATAATAATGATGATGATGAAGAATTAGCTGATATCAGATGTCTTCTCCTCGGTTTCTGCTTGCCCAGGTCTGACTGCTGCAGCTTATAATTAGTCTCTGCTTGCAGATGTGTGGTTCCAAAGACTTGTGGATTAAAGACAAACTCTAGAATTTCTCAGTACCTGACAAGTTGTAACGTGAAAAGCTACACTTAGTCCATTAAAGAGTTTTCACAGTGACATTTGAGTGCAGCATGAGAAATATGCCACCTTGCCATTTATCATTTTCAGGGCACAGGTATCGGAAAGGAGTTTGCTATGAAGAACAAAACAAAATGGATTGCATGTGTAGAGGTGAGCTGGCGAATACTGATAAATGTACTTCACTGAATGTCAGCAAATGTCACTTGAGAAGCCATTTGCGGCTACCATAACAGCCTCCCAAACCCAACAAAGAGTAGCAAAAACGGGCAAAACGAACTGGGCGTCTTGCTTCCACATGAATAAGCAATCAGGCCTCTCAGAAGTTACACCGGAAAGTTGTTAAACTTGATAGAAGAAGGTTTTTCAACCATACTGACGCACAACATAGGTTGCTACAGAGGCTGGAGACTTTCTGAGGATGTCAGCGCTGTGACTCTGGGAGGGCTTAATAACCCTTTCTCTTCCAGGTAGGTGCCTTTCTTTAGTACGTGTAGCCACTGGCTGTCTCTGAGACATACTTTCTGGGTTTTTCCTGCTCCAGTTTGCTGCTTTTGCTGTTTCTGCAGACCCCTCTACGCCCCACCCACTCCTAATCTAGCCTCCCTTGCAGTATAATCCAGGAATGGCTGCAGATGGGAGCTGGGATTCGGTCCTCACATGCCATATCAAGAGAAGACCCAGCGGAAGCACCCTTGAGCCAAGTTTTCAGTCTCTCATTCAAGAAAAGAATTTTCAATGTGCCTTCTGGTTAATGTGAAAATTGAAGTAATGGACTCAGCTTCTGGTTCATTCTTGGTGACCTAGCCAAAACTTGCCCTCTGTGGGTGATTTAGGATTTCTGGAAGGTGGGGCCAAGTGATCTTCAGAATTCGGCTTGGGTTAAGATGTTCCCTTCTTCCTCCTCAGACTGGTGAGTCTCCAGGTTTTGCTGCAGAGAAGTAAATGGGAAAGAAGATCATATTCTCAGAAAAGCACTCCAGGGAATGTGAGGCTAATGAAAATAAAATTCCAGCCCCTCTTCATTTTCTAATCTCTGGGGGCTCCTCCTCCTCTTTAATACATACGAGGTCATCCAATACTTTTTTCCTCCTTTATACAGAGACAGTTTAACAGGGTAGCCTGAATTTATTTGGCCTTGTAAAGGTACCACACCCACACACACACACACACCATTGCCCACACAAATTGAGGTCAGTTCAGTTTTCATCGGTGCAACGCTGTGTGTGGTGTATGGCTCAGATACAAGAAGCCCTTTGTTGAATGTACATCCCAGACTCTGTCCCCGAATGTGCTAATGGACACACTTCCCTCTTCACACTGTTCTGTCATATGTTTAGCCTGTGTACATTGGAAATGAACACATCTTACAACCAGGAAAAGATGGGCTCTTGGGAAAGCGAGCTTCCCTCAGATGAACTCGGAGGGATGGTGCAGGAAGGAGGGGTTGGAAGCTAGCTTCTCTCCAGCCACACTCCTTGCAGAGTTCTTCATAATTCTAGTGTTTCCTCCTTTTGAATTAGGTGCTTCCCATGGAAGGGACTTTACTTGGGTCTCGGGAACTCACAAGCCATCTGCTTATTATTGAAATTGAACTGCCTTCAACTTGTTGACTTTCATATCAACAAGGATCCATAATATAGCCTGGCTATACTTCACTCAGTTAAGGCATTTTCTGAAGAGCAAATCTCTGTTGTGTCCCAGTGTGGATTTCATGTCCCAGACCCCAAAACCCTACTAAAGCATAAAAGCATGTTCCAAAGAAAAGACAATATGGGTGCAGATTTCTCATTGTGCCAGTATTCTTTATTTTTCTAGTTGCTGTAATTTTAAAATTTGTATCTTAAAGCTCAAGCTAATAAGCATCTGTTCCCTGGAGTGAAAAGAAACTGTTCATAATTGATTAATATCACAGGAATCCTGTAATTGCTGGAGGCTAGAGCTATGTAAAAACCTACCTTCTTATTGTTTTGTCTTTAAAGAACTAAAACAAAAGCCTTGTCTGTAGACAAGGGTAGCCAATATTGTCTCTGTCTTTCAGTGAGAAAAAGCAAAGCTGGTTTGGGTGAGCTACTTTACCCACTAATTAGTGGCAGTAGCAGGTTTCCTTGTTTTTAATCCAGTGGCTGTTTACAGTGGACTCTTCTCTGCTCTATGAATAAAAACCTAACAAGCCCCCCTTAACTGTTTTGCATTCTGGGGCGTTTCAAACAAAATGTTAAATTGCTGTCACAAGAGGAAGATTTGTTAAAAATACAAAACTCCTTAGAATTGCAGTAATCCCCTCATTCTTGCAAGAATGTAAACAGGACATCAGTTAGGGGACATTTGCCCATGGAAAAGTCTCCTCTGAGCAAGAAACTTCACCCACTGCAGGGTAGCAATGGGCATCATTTAATCGGCTCTAAACATTCCCACTCTCAAACTGAGCTCCCCTGTCCTTGAAAGACTGGAAAGATACAATAGCAAAGTGGGAGAGAAATAAGCAAATTTCAGGTTAACTCTGCAGGCAGGCCATCCTAATGAGAAATGTTCAGAGGAATTTATTATCAGACTTCCACATAACTTCACTCACGTATTCATTCGTTCAAGCAGGCATTTTTAAATGCCTACATTTTGTCAGACCTGACATAATATCTTACCTGGACAGCAGTTTTGCTTAGAAGTCATAGTCCATCTCTTCCAGGAAGCCTGCTAAGTTTTCTCGCATGCTTCCCTGTGTGCTCCCAACCAAGGACACCCATAAAACGGCATTGTTCTGTGCTGTCCTGAACCGGGTACATCTTTCTCCCCACAAGTGTTAGTTCCCTGAAAAAAGGGTCTCGATCTCGATCTTATCTCTGCGTCGCTGGATAGTCTTTCCTAATCTACTCTTTAAAATGAGACTTAAGGCAGTGAAAACTGCGTCGTCTCTCACATTGAGATCTAAACCACTTTGGTGTGAATAAAGGGGAAGCAGCCTTCTCCTCCTTGGCTACTGAGAGTGTCTGGATTCAGCATTCAATGAAGGTTGTACCAATGATGTAGGCTGGGGAAGAAGTGGATGGGTCCATCAGAATAACCTGGCTGCCATGCAAGCAACATCAGACTGGTTAATCTGGAGGAATAGGAGCTAAATTATCCAACCAATTGTGTAGATGCAGCCTCTGCTGGCAAAGATTATTTTCACCACCTCTGCATCAAATATGCTTCAGAGATTTGGGATTTGACACTGCATCCAGATATAGTGGGATCAAAATGGAGAACATTCACATTTTGTTCTACAGTTGCCAGCCTTGAGGCATCCAGGCTTCTTTCTTACTACAGTAACTTATAGTATTTCCCAGCGGGAAAGGTTTGGTGTAGGAATTATTATAATTTCCCTCTCTTACTTCTGCCCAGCTAGTCACAGGGGAAAGAATACCTAGCCTTACCAACCCCACACAGCCAATTTTGCTACCGAAATATAAGATTTTGCATGAGATCTGCACATGTTAATGACTTTTGATGAAGAGATTTTCTTTGTTAAATCAGAGATTCAGAATTCTTTTTCCTTCCTTGTATACCTATTATTTTCATGTGGCCCTTTCAGGGAAGAATTTTTCTTAAAAAAATTTCAATCTTTTAACGCAGAGTCCCCTAGGCAGGCAGAATACATCCTGTCGGAGCCAAATGTCAGGCCAGAAGAAGCTGTGCTTTGAGTCACTTGACAGATACACAGAGTTGAACAAGTTCTACTTTTTCCCTTAAAAATACACAAAATTCACTTAATGTAATTTGTAATAACCCTTTCTTACCATTTCAAATATTTTATTTCAGTTCCTTAAAATTTGTTTCCCTGCCCAATTAGGGGGAAAAATTTGCTTCCATTTTAAGAAGAAAAATATATTTAAAGTTTCTAAAAGTAAGGATGGCTGAAACATTGTTTCCCCTCTCGAACTGGCATTCAGAAAAAATATATTTCTATATTCATTTACTTCTGATGTGAGAATGGAAATACCACCTTTGGTCAAAGAAAGTTTTTTTTTTTTTTTGAAATGATACAAATCTATGTGTGCTTATTTCTAGAATTGATACCCATGTATTCACTGTAGCGGTGGGAATTCCTGCTAGGGGAATCCACATTTGGAGAAGTACTCCCGCCTTGGGAGCATTTAAGTAAATTTTAATATCCAAACAAAAGCAGTATTATCATCACTACCCACTCCCTCCCTTCGAGGAAAAACAATTAATAATTTGCATATGCTCATAACACAAATTATAAGACAAAGGGCCCCTCACAGGCTGTGGGCAATACACAGCCTTCCACAGGCTGCACAGTCCCAGAGCTAAACTGTTCTAGCTTCCGAATGAATAGCATTAAGCTGCACCACTAAAGCGAGGGGTTCTGGGCCCTCTGGCCCATTCCCACTGTAGAGTCGAGTTTCTTCAATCAGAAAGATCTCCCAATTTTTCCGTAAGCTTTAAGGGGGTGGGGGAGAACATATAGGTCCAAGTGGGGAAAAATACGTATATACTTTGCCCTTTTTATTTTAATAACCAAACATTGTAATGCTAGCTAAATAGAAATTCTTGTCTGTTAATAGGTTTCTTTAGTTTGTAATAAATAGGAATGCTAATGACTAAAATTTGGTATTTGGTATGCACTAGCTTTTGTGAGCTTTTTTTTACACTCCTCATTGACATGCAATATAGCAAGCTTCCTTTGAAACATATTTATAAAATAACTACAGTATAATTAAACCAACAAAGCCATCTTTTAAGTACTTAATAGCTCAGGTTTTTTTTCACCTCGGTAAAATTTATTTTAAAAAAGAAAAACAGTTATGTCTCAGTCCTACTGTATATTTTATTCTGTGCATCTAATATTTCCTTTGCATCTACAATCTATGCATATCTAATTCTTTTTGACACCTATGATTATTAATAAAGTCCTTGTGAAAGATATGCTTCGTAGCTTCTTCAACAAGAATAATGTTTTTTTGTTAATGGAAATTGTAACATATCTTGACAGATACAATATATAAGATGTGCTTTTTTCTTAATTGTTAATATTGCTGTGCTGAATAAACGAGGAGCAGATAAACAGCTATGGCAGGTAATAATCTGAGTGGATGCCATTTTATACAATGTAACTAAAAATATTTTAATGATATGAAAGCAATAGATAAATAAAAGCAATTATGTTTAATTTTGCTTTTGGTAAGCCGGCAATTTTTGGTTGTTGCTGTTGCCAGTGCGCTTAGAAGAGGAGGAAGCTCGAAGCGCAGAGCAACCGGACCGAGGCGGCGCTGCCTTCTTCCAGCCCAAGGGTCCTGCAAGCCGCCCTTTCTCTGCTCTCCGCAGCTCCAGCGATCCTGGCGCGAAAGGCCCGGCTGAATGCTAATTTGGGATACACAGGAGCTCAAGTTCACCAAGTTTTCCGCAGTTTTGCAAATCCTTTTCTTCCTCCCCATGCCTAGCGGTTTAAGACCACGCCATTTCCCAGAAAGAAAAACTCAAAAGATCCCAGGCGCCGGCTGAAGTCACTTAAGAGTAGATTGTGGCTGCTCCTCCGCCTCCCCGACCCCTGGTTGCTGCTCGGCTCTGCCCCTCGCGCCTCGCCCCCTTCTCCCGAAACTCCGTCCTCTCCGCAGAGGGGCTGCCTTGCCCCCAGCCCACCCCCCGCGTGGAGAATAAACACAGTTGACATCACTCTTACAATCTTTATTTAAAACTGTTTCCAAGGTTACAAATTGCCGAGCCTCGAAGCAACAGGTTCCTCCGAAGCGGTATCATTACAGATTAACTGTAATGTGTAGGATTAGAATAAAAGCATAAGGGATTAGGTAAAAGGGCGACGCTTGAGACAGAACGCCCGAGCGCATCTCGACTGAGTCGGCCGGGGGA